AATGGATTTTCACATCATTTATTTTATTATTAATAATAATATTATTATATTTTTAATACATAATTCCCTTCATTTTTATAAATATAGGCAGTAGCATAATGTGCTCAAATTTAAGTTCCCTTTCCATTTATGTTGGATGATTGTTACGTGTATAATTATGTCATCATCATGGATATGTGTTATTTATTTAATCTATACTTATATAAAAATTCATCCTATTTGCTAGAAATAGTAGGCAGAAAAGTCAAAGGTAATTAATGCATTCTATTTTTTATCAAGTATTTTATTTAATTATTTTATTTATTTGTTTTATCCTATAACATCGGTTTAGTAAAAAAAATCCCATAAAATCGATTTTGTCAAAAAATTGTACGTAAAACCAAAAAAAAGGGTAAATTCGATCGGTGAAGCCAGATTTGACCGGTCAAAATTAAATCTTTATTTTACGTCACTCATAAATAAAGCAGATCTCAAGCCTAAATTGAAGGGTTTAGTTTGTGTAGATTGAAAGTTCCTTCTTATCTTTTTACAAAAAATCTTATCTAACTGTATGGAAAATCTGTTATGATTTGTTCCTCTAGATGTAATCTGATTCCCGTATATTGAGATTTTTTCATAAAAATACTAAAAGCTATTGTATCTACTCTACCAATTACAAATTATAAATCTCAAAATATTGAGCAGCGTCTTCGTCACTTTCAACGACTAAGATTTATTCTTATTTCGTTGTCGAATACTATCTTATTGTACAATTTTTTGCGCATTATAAAACTTTTATTGAATATTGCATCTTATAATATAATATTCCCCAAATAAATATATCCCGTGCCTCGCACGAGTTACGTACTATATATATCCAGTATATTTTTCTTTATTCATGTATATGATTATAAGTCTGGATAAATAGTCTTAAAAATGTGCACTCCATACACGCACCGGCTCTGTACTAGTTGAATAAAAAAAAAGAGTTGAAATATGATTTTAAAATAATAAATCCCATACCATAGATATATGTCTTTTATTATGCCATTCATAGAAAACGAAATATAAAAATACCAGAAAAGGTAACATGAATAAATTTGACCGAACACAAAAAAAGCCCACGCTTTTCCTTTAATTTATTGTCCAAGCGTACGTATCAAAAATCGTATCTTACAAAATAAGAGAACAAGAACAAAAATACCACAAATTATGGGGAATTGAGGCGAATAAGCCATTTTATTTTGTCTGTTTGTTCGATTGATTTTATTTTATTTTTAGATTTGAAACATAATTTATAGAAAGAAAAGTACAAATTAAATTTAAAGAAAAAAATGCTAAAGTCCCGTAATGAAATCATTTATCTGAATAAATCAGCCCGGTTTAAATACCTAATATTAACATAACTCACAATTAAAACGGTCCGGTTTACAGTTTTCCAAAAATAAATACTGTAAACAATCGTAAATTTTTCAATTTTCAAAATAATTATTATGAAAATTGAAAAATGTATAATGTGTCAAAAATGTAATTTTTTTTGTAAATTTAAAACACAATATTAATAAAAAAAAACTCATTATTATTGCTGATAATTAATGAATTTCCAAGTTGACAAAAGACACCCTATTTGCATCGTGCATCGTTTCTTAACCAATCAATCCAACTAATCACAAAGGAATCTTCCAAAGCTTATTCTTCAATAAGCTTGTCCGCTGAATAATACTATCTATATTAAAATTTCAAGAAACTATCCATCCACAGAGTATATTACTAGCAATTAATTAAGACTAGCTAATGACTCACCATCATCTATAAAATCAAGGGTTAACACTAGAATGATAGGTCTAATTATGATAATTAATGTTAATCACTCTAAATAATCAATTGAACAGTGGTTTTGATATTATCCACCAACTAATTATAAGAAAAATATATAAGAAAAATGACATTGGACTGCCTTTCCAAATATACAAATTCTACTGTAACGTAGTCTTATGCTAGACTATCAATCCATAAAATTTCTTTGAGCAAAAATAATAACTTATACTGTAAAATGTTATATATTTATTTAAGTATGCGGGTTTACACGTATGAATAAAAAAATCATCTAACAATAATCCTACCTCCCTAATATTATCATCCACAGATTCCAATAATTTTTTTTTACTCGGTTAAATTTATTGTAAGGAGCGGTAAAAAGTAACTTGTTTATATAATTAATTTGAAAATAACAACGATTTCGTATTAGATTTGTTGATATAAAAGTTAATATATAGACGTGAGATGAATTCTAACAATAATACAAAAGTTAATAATATATGAATAGTTTTTTATCTTTATTAATAATACTTTCTAGGAATATATAATTTCTCGTATATTAATGCAGAATGTTGTTATTATATGTTTCGACTTCTGGTGCTTCACAATCCTATGCGACGAATTATCTTGCTATGTGATTTTATGTATTAGATATATTTAAAACTTAATAACTGATATTCTTATCATTTTTTATATATAATATATTAAATTAATCATCCTTTAACAAGTTTGATTTGATATCTATTTGTATATATGAAATAAAAATTTATTTTTATTTATTTAGTTAGAATAGTTATCTATAAATGAAATAGACGTTCATGACATTAAATGATAAACAAACATATTAATATCATAAGATGACCATTTTTTATAATTTAATTTTCAAAATCCATCACTAAAATTTTTAATTTTCAAATTTTATATTATAGTATATATGATTTTCACAAAACAAATAACTGTACTAGTAGCAAAATAATTTATATCTTATGATTTATGAACCTAAGAGCATCATTTAAGCCTGAAATTTCGTCATCAACGTGGCAACTCTACTCCAGCAACATGCCCTCGTCAAACCGCAATCTCCTATTTGTCAACAAATTATTTTCATCAATATGTTCTCCCAAAAAGATTACAAAAATAAAAAATTCCAAATATGAAAATAATTAGAAATGAGAAGCGGTACTTATACCGTCAAGCGGACCTAATGTTAAACTGTCATACTTTAAATTTTACAACAAATACGTGTGATTTCAAATTAAAAATTAACTAGTATTCGGCCTGTGCATTTGCACAGATATATAAATAAAATATTGCGAGTTATTTGTATGCATATAATGATTAATGATTTTTGCTAAATTTACAATTAAATGAGCTGAAATCTTTATTTTTTAAAAATACGTTTTTCATATTGGATGTAATGTATATTTTGGTATGTATCTTTTGTTGTGAATTATTTGTTATTTATTTAGGAATTTCAAATACGTTTTTTATTTCCAAAAGAAGTTAATTTAAATGTAACCACAACAATAACATTTACTCAAGTTAAATAGTCAACACATTATATGGTCAACCGTAAGTAAATAAAAAATTTAAAATAATTTTTGTAATTTTGAAGTGATTAGTGTTTTGATATCTAATAATTAAATGAGAGGTTAAATAAATAAGAAATAACAATTTTTCGATGAAAAAAACTATATTGCCACATAGGTATAATTTAATAAGTTTTATTAAATACTAATGAGCCAGCAATTATACATATATATATATATATATTTAGGGTAATGAGATTTGCAAAAAATATTGGATATTTAATATTTAGTTTTTATTACAGTTATGAAATGAGAAAGAATATGGCATAGTTGATTTGACCGACTATAAATAATATTTATTTTTTATGAGTGATGAGATTTGCAAAAAATATGAGATATTTAATATTTAATTATTATTAAAGTTATGATATAAGAAAAAAATATGGGATGTTGATGCTTGGAATTTATATAAAGAATTTTTTAAAATTTTGGATTCCCGCATCTTTTTTTCAGATTTTCGCCTCCTATTCAGATAATTTCGAAACAGTAATTATCTCAACTTTTGGAATTGTAATTTGATAATTATAATTAATTATTTTAGTTGATCTTTAATTTTGTTATTTTTGCAGGAATTGACCGGAGATGGAGCATCTGATTTTTTATTTTATTTTAAATTTATTTTTTTGGTTAGTTGTATTTGTTAATAATTAATTTTTTATTTATTTTCATTAATTTCGTTTAGTTTACTAAAAAATAATTTCAATTAAAAAAATAATTAATGAGAACTGTTGAGAGTAATTAATATGTTTAAAAAAATATGGAAACATTTTCATTTTCATTAACTCGTTATAATTGCAGAATTAATTGGTTGTCATTTTTAAAACACTCAACTTTTCAAGAAAATTGAGTTGTTTTTAATAAAGAAAATAAAAAATAAAAACAAATGAAAAGTAACGGAAATTGGCGGGAAAATGCCACCTAGGTATAATTTATGAGGTTTAATTAAATGCAGAAGAGCTAGTAATTATATATATATATAGATGTCACACTCTAACTAACAACATAAATCAAATTACGATATTTAATTATATAGTATGCATTTATTGTTACAAAAGTATGATGAGTCGGCCTAAAAAATGAGCGTGTTTTTTTTTCTTTTAAATTTACATTAATCCAATAATCCATAATTAGATTACAAAAACATAATTAATTAATTAAGAAAAAAAATGTTCTGACAGCTCTCCGAAGTCCAAACACAAAGATAGCGCACTGCTGGCAAATCCAGTGAGAAAGGTCAGAATTTTCTTTTTTCTTTTTCACTTTAACCCTCATTTCATGATGACGTGAGACACGTGTCCCCTAACCTCCCCACCCCACCCCACCCCACCCTACCCCACAACCCCACAATGATTGGACCCCCATTTTTCCACCCAATACACACACAAACAATTTCATTTCATTTTATACTCTCTCAAAAACGCCGAACAAATAATTTTTTGTAGACGACGACCCAAAAAAAGAAACAAAGCTATTGCTCTCAAAATTCACAATTTTCACCTCATCGATTGATATAAATCCTCTCTAATTTTTCATTTGGAGCAAATTACTGAGAAAAAGGAAAGCTCTTTAATCCGTTCTTATCCGTGTTAGTTATTTGAAGGGTTCTTTGTTGAAATGTCTTTCTTGTACACCTCCTTCATCCCTGAGGAAGCCAAGGTGGAAGAAGAAGGCGAGTGGGAAAAAGAAAGATAAATTTGAGAAGCAGAATCAGAAAAAAAAGATTGAATTTTATTGTTTTTTTCTTTTCTTTTTTGGTAGCTTGAGCAGAATTTCCAGGGTTGTCTTACATCGACTTTGATATCTGGTAATATTCAATTTTCTTCAAAATACATCATTTTTTTTGTCAGTTAAGTGATGGGTATTTGCCAATATTCTTAATTTTTGGCTGTGATTTTGTATTGTGTTTCAGTGGATGTCGACTATAGTTAGTGATTCGATGGTTATAGGCCACGGGCCAGACGGGCCCACCGTTAACGGGCCTGTGAGTATGATATCGGGCCAGATTGAGGTGGAGTTCGCAAGATGCGATTGCTGCGGGCTTACTGAGGAGTGCACCCTCACATACATAGAGACAATTCGAGAAAGGTAGTTAATTGTTGAGATTTTGAATCGGGTTTGATTGATTTGTTGAGTTTCTTATATGTGTTGTAAGTGAAAATTAGAGAGAAAAATCAAAGAAAAAGCTTTATTTGGTGTTGTTTAATGTTTTTTATCATTTGATTACCCCGTCTTGATTTTGGTGCTCTGTTGAAACATAGATTTAATCTTCCTCTTTTTTGGAGCCCGGATATGAATCAGGATTATAGTTCAGGATGTTAATTCATAGGATTGGGATTAACAATGTATGTTTTCTCTTCTGTAACACAATTGTAGGTTGTAGTTGTTGAGTTGAGTACCCGACTGATAGGTTATCTCCGGAGCCCCTGCGCTTTGCAGGTATTTCGGCTAGACGTTCAGATAGGAATTTATCAAATTATGCCGTAAATTCCTTTCTGAACTTTTCACCGAAATACGAGCAAAGCACTGGGGGTTTCCCGCATAAAATCAAGTTAGTTAAGTGATTATTTTGTGTGTTAATAAGTACTAGAGATAATGAAAATATATAATACCCATACTTCCTCCTTTTATATCTGGTTACCTTGTTGATCAAGACGGCTAGAATCTACTAGAAGGAAACTTTATCGTTCTCGAGATTCCTTGCTATTGTAGGATTTTATATCCCAAATTGAACCCTTTTCCTTTTGAATCTTGTTTCCTGGCTTCATTAAACTTAATCTTCTTCAACTCGTTGGGACGAGCTAGCCCTTTCCTAACTTAGCTTGACTCGTCCTTTAGCCATGTAATAGATCGACCTCAAGGCCCGACCCGAATCTCAACCCTAAATTGATTCACACCGGCTCGTTATCACCAAACAAAACGTTGGACATTAGCCTCCTAACATTTTTAGGAGTTCCTTGAAATGGGTGCTAAACTTGGGCTCAAATAGGCAAAAATGCATTTTTAGTGCTGTTAGTTTAACCTCATAGCAAATTTAGTCTAAAGGTTCTAACTTTCGCCTTTTGGTCATATGATTTAATATTTTGTTGCTGCAATTTCAGTGCTTTTTGAAGACTGAAATTGCAACAAAAATTTAAATTATAGGACTTAAATTGCTAATACAAAATCTATAAGTTTTGAAATTTGTTGCAATTTCAGTACTCAAAAGATTGAAATTGCAGTAAAATATTAATTCACAGGACAAAAAGGCAAAATGTTAGATTCTTGAGGCTAAAAATGCTAGGGCGTTAAACCAACAGGATTAAAAATGCAAAATACAATTTAGCCTGTGCAAATATTAAGAAAACCCATGTTCATTCATCAGGTATGGTGGCAAATGGATCTGCGGGCTTTGTGGAGAGGCCGTGAAGGATGAAATCTTGAGATCACAGAAGCTGATAAGCCCGGATGAAGCACTGGCCCGACACATTAGCTTCTGCGGCAAGTTTCGGGCCTCGGACCCTCCCGAGGACCCCACGGTGCATCTAATTCGGGCCATGAAGCAGGTTCTGAGGAAGAGCCTGGAAAGCCCGAAATCCATTAAGTCCTTTCCAAGTAGCCCGACCAGCAGAAGAGGGCGCACTTTGAAGGGTCAGGTGTTCGCCCGATCAGAGAGCTGCATGCCGAGTTTGAGCCTTGTTGACTCGCCGGTTTACTGCCGGTTGGATGAAGGTTGTGAATGAGGGTGGAAGGTTATAACGGTAAATTTAGGGGGGAAATGACTTGAAAAATCAGGAGAGATGGATAGATGAATGCAGAAGTTAATTTTTAATGTCATCAGTTTATGTAATATTCCTCTTGTTGTGGATTGAAGATGGAAATGTAACTTGAAGTTTCAAAGTTTAGTAACAGAAGTTCAAAATTCATGGAAATTGGGTAAGCAGAATAGATATTTTCTCTTTCCTTTTCTGTCTGGTTTTGTGATGGGCCGTTCTAAACACTGGACTGATAGACTCTTTATATGAATATGCATATTTTCTGCCGGAAATAACCCTCGGCGGCCGTTCATGGCCACCCCATCTCCGCCAATTCCTTGAAGAGGGAGAACTTTTTAGAGTGTGATCCATGTTTTCATTTAACTGTTGAGTTTTTCTTTTTTTTGCTATTGAACTTAAACACACGTAGGAATGTATGTATGTATGTCTGCATGTTTGTATATGTATTGATTCGATAAAAAATTCGGTCAGTGGACTTCTATTTTGAGTGTGACCCACACCACGTTCACGGGGCTTCAATTTTCTTGCACATAACATCAAATCAAGATGTTTTGTCCATGGCATTGGCTCGTTTGTCTTTTGTTTCGAGGCCCCATTTGTAATTTACTTTTTTTCACAAGAAAATGTTGCTTTGAAAAACAACAAATATCACCGAACAAAACAAAACGTTGAGCAGCAATGCATTATTTATTGTCCATGGAAATAGAACTATTACATGAGCAGAATTATTGGTTTTCTGACATTATTGGTCAAGATAGGCTGCTGCTCACTACTTGGTCCCAACTGGAAAATGACGTTTCACCAATAATCTATCATTCACATTTCATCTGAAGCCTTCTTCGTCTTCTTCACAAGGCTTTGAGAATTTTTTTCCTGCTTTCATTCCTCTTCATAAATTTTCCAAATTAAAGCTGATATTGGATTTCATTTGAGCAAAAGGAATCCATGGCAGCTTATGGAGCGTTGATTTCTCTTACAAACACCATAGACCAAATCCAGAATCATCCTCGCCCACCCATCTTCCTCGACCAACTAAAAATTGAACCACTTAACAGAATGGTTGCTTTCTTGATGCAGTTTCTTGAAAACTATATAATTGATGATGATGCAGATGGGTTGGAGGGGCGTATGATTGATGCGGCTCACGAGGCAGAGGATATCATTGAGTCCTATATTGCCGATCGTATTGAGGCTCGTGGGGAAGCTAACATCAGTTCAAACGATGACGAGTCTTTGTATGGAGAGCTCGAGAAAGTGATGCACGACTTGAATTCCATCACAGAAGACGTGGCTGCTGTTAAAGACAAGGCGGGAAAAAAAATTGCTCCTTCTTGCACAGAGGATGACGCCATGATGGGTTCTGATGATGTCATGAACAACATCATGGCTAAGCAGAACAACAGCCCTTATTCAGTGGGGGACGACACGATGATGGGTTCCGATGATGTCATGAACGACATCATGGATAAGCTGACCAATCAACAATCCAACCGTTGGATCATCGCGATTGTAGGCATGGGGGGTATTGGTAAGACAACTCTTGCAAAAAGAATTTATGAACATCCACTTATTGTGGAAAAGTTTGATATTCGCGGCTGGGCTACAGTTTCTCAAGAATTTGATTCGAAAAGGATTTTGTTACAAGTCCTTGACTGTTTGAAAAAAACCATGGGGAGTGAGGACAGCGAATATGAAGAATTAGGACAAAAACTGTATCAAAGCTTATACGGCCGACGGTATCTGATTGTTATGGATGACATTTGGAGTATGGACGCGTGGGACGGGGTGAAGCGCTTCTTTCCCAATAACAACGACGGGAGCAAAGTGTTGATAACCACTAGGCTATCGAACGTGGCTTTGCAGCTGGATGGCCCAGATTACATTCAGATGAGGTTTCTGAATCAAGACGAAAGCTGGAAATTGCTGCGTAGGTGTGTGTTTCAAGAACAAGAGTGCCCGCCAGAATTTGAAGAGATTGGGAAGGAGATTGCCAGGAACTGTAGAGGCCTTCCATTGTCAATTGTCGTGATCGGAGGACTCCTAGCAAAGTCTGAACAGAAACGTGAAAACTGGAAACACATTTTAGAAAATTTAAGCTGGATCGTGAATTTAGAGAAGGACGAGCATTGCTTTAGAATACTAAAGTTGAGCTACAATCAACTGCCGGTCCACCTGAAGCCGTGTTTTCTTTACATGGGCATGTTCCCAGAGGACGACTGGATTCACATCCCCACACTCCTCAAGCTATGGGTTGCTGAAGGATTTGTGAAACAAGTGGGCGGTAAAAGCTTGGGAACAATTGCGAGAGAAGTGTACCTACATGGTCTCGTCATCAGAAATCTAATCATGGTTCGTGGGTGCGGCCCTACTCGAAGAAGAATAAAACGGTGCGGCATCCATGATATCCTGAGAGACCTATGCATAAAAGAAGCTGAGAAATACAATTTCTTTCACACAATCAAAACAACGCACAACCCTGACCACCACCAAAGCTGGGTCACCCAACATCGTATCGGCATTCACCAAGCTGGGAAATACATTCCCCGTCCACTCCCTGAAGCTGTGCAATCCGCATCACGAGCTCGATCTCTGATATGGAAAGTTGATGGAAAGTTACCATCTCTAGTTCCATTTAGATTGCTTAAGGTTCTGAATGGATACGATAGATTTGATTTTTACGACCATAAAGAAGATTGTTTTCTACCCGTCAACTTGCGCCACCTGGTCGCCAAATTTAATTCTTTTCCTGTGGAAATTTTGTACCGACTCTGGAATTTACAGACGTTAACAGTTACTTTGAACTCAACGCAATATAAGTTGCCGCCGGTGCTGGACATCTGGCGGATGCCCCAACTCAGGCACGTCAATGTATGGAAAATCCGGCTCAAGGATCCTACTGAAGAAAATGATGGGGTGTTGGAGAAGCTAGAGACGCTCAAGAGAGTACTTAACTTCACGTTCAGTGAGGAAGTGGTTGAGAGAATCCCCAATATCAAGAATTTGGAAATACATTACAGCGGCAACTACAACGGCAAGGACAATATCGACAATCTGTGTCGGCTACGCAAGCTGGAGACCCTTTCATGCGTTTCGTATGACGGTCGAATAATTGAGGTGACGTTGTTCCCAGTTTCACTCAGGAAGCTGCATCTGTACGGCACGGAACTCGGGTGGGAGGAGATTGGAGAAAAGATAGGCTCGTTGCCATATCTCGAGGCCCTTTATTTGAATACTAATGCGTGCGAGGGGCCCGAGTGGGATTTGAATTTGAATGCGCCTGAGTGGGAAACAGCAGATGGCATATTCCAGAGCCTCAGATATTTGAGACTCGACGGAGCAAGCTGCCATCTGAAACAGTGGAGGGCGGAGGCCGAGCACTTCCCGCGCCTCCAGCGGCTCGAACTAGAAAGGTTATCTCTAAAGGAGATCCCATTTGGATTTTGCGAAATACCCACGCTTAAGGAGATCTTTGTCGCGACTTGTCCGGACTCTGCCGTGCTTTCTGCAAAGAAGATATTAGAGGAACAAGAGGAGTGTTATGGGAAAGTCGAGCTTCAGATTACAGTTTGGATAAATACCGAAGATACCCAGCTACGAGGTGAGAGCTTGAGGAGTCAGAACTTCACAGTTTCTTTTTATGGTGGACAATTAAGGGCACATTCGTTAAGCCACCTACTAGATAATTTTTATCAAGATTGCATAGAGATATGATTCACATTATAGTTTGTTATGTATGATTGACACAAGATAAGATTTTATGCATATACTTGTTATGCATTTGTTGTCCCCGATAAATGATAGGATAAATACTACAATTACCTATTTACCCTAATAATAATAAAAAAAAAAAAACTAATTATTTTTGCTTCTCTTCATCACAAGGTTCGACCCAAAACCTCAATCAATCAAAACACCCTCTCAAAAAAATCCGCCAATAAATCAAAGGAGCTCCGAAATTGTTCAATCGAATTGATTATAAATTACATCCACAAATTTTCCCCATATTTTCATATAATAACTGCATTACATCATTGAGTTTTTTACTATTAAATTAAAATTAACAAACATCTGTATGTGTGTATGTATATATGTATTGATTTGACGATAAAAAAATTGGACTTCTGCGAGGAGTGTGGTTACTAGTGTTGTTAAATTAAACGAGCCTGCTCGGCTCGACTCGGCTCGAGTTCGACTCGACTCATTTGATAAACGAATCGAGCTCGAGCTCATTTAAAGCTCGATTGGTTAATGAGTCGAGCTCGATCTCGATTTCAGACTCGTTTATTTAAAGCTCGGCTCGAACCCGACTCGTTATTAGTGATAAACGAGCCGAATTCGAGCTCAATTTCAGGCTCATTTATTTAACAGGTCGAACTCGAGTCGACTCAGGACTCGAGCTCGACTCGTTTACATGCCTAAATGTGGCCCACATCACGTTTGGGGGCCTTCAACTTTCTTGCACCTTAACATCAAATCATGATGTTTTGTCTTTGGCATTGGCTTTTTTTTTTTTTTTTTTTTTTTTTTTTTTTTTTTTTTTTTTTATCAAAACGATAGGCGAACTCTACATTAAACAAAGCAAGAAAACAAGGGTACAATGTCCGAAAATAACGAGTACAGACTCGAAACAAATGCCGAGGGCTAATGCCAGGGAAGCTACACAGAAACACATGTAGCTTAAATGAAACAAATACAGTAGAACAATATAACCAGAGGCAATAAATCACTGCATCCTCCAGTTAACAAGAACATCACTCAGAAAAACTAATAGAACAGATGAGAAGAAAAAAGACAGAAAATCATGACCACCACTCCACTGTACTACTCAAAGAGCAGACCTAGCTTGGTCTTCATGTTCTCTTCTTCCTCCTACCAGCTTTAGATCCCCTATTTCTTGCCACTCCCCTCTAGCTACTTTGATAATGCCCATCTCCGAACTCCATACATTCTCAAACATCCACAAGTTTCTGGATTTCTAAAGCCACCATAGTATGTACGTTGTGAGTTCTATTCTGGCTTCAGAAACCTCCGAATCATCCACACTACACACCATTCCCCACCAATCTGTGAAAAGGGTTGAATCCCCCTGAGGTTGATCCCAACAAAGAGGTGCATTTTTCCACACCCTCTTAGCTCTGTCACACCGAAAAAAAACATGCTCGATTGTTTCCTCCTCTCTCCCACAGCCTTTGCACAACACATCAATGACAATACCCCTTTTCCTAATATTCACATTAACTGGTAATAGCCCCAAGAAGCATTTCCAAATAAAGTGCTTAATTTTACCTTTAACTCGAAGTTTCCAGCTTCTCATTCTCACCATTTTGTTTCTGTCAGCTGTGGAGCTCCCTTCTGCCAAATCGAGTGCTAGCAGCTTCTTCTTGCTAAGAAATCTGTATGATGAGGCTACAGAAAACTTCCCATTATTGTTAAACCCCCATCTCTACTTGTCTTCTAAATCTGGGTTTAAGGTCTGTATCTGCAAAATGGCCTCACTATCCTCAGTTTCAAACATATCTGTCACCTTTTGCTCATCCCACTGTCTGCCATTAGCACTAATAAGCTCAGATATCCAAAGTTGCTGATTTTGGAATTGTTGCTTCAGTTGTGGCCCTCTCAAACTCAGTCCAGGGACCCAGTTGTGGTCCTGCACTCTAAGAGATTTACCATTTCTCACCTCCACTTGCAGACCTTGTTGAAGAAGGCCTTTCACTTTCCACCATGACCTCCATAACCAAGATGAATTTTGCTTGAGCTCAGAATCAAAAAGTGATCCTTTGGGGAAGTATCTGCTTTTCAGGATTCTACTCATCAACAGGTTTGGATATTTGAGAACTCTCCATAGCTGCTCGATCAAGAGTGCCTCATTGAAGAGGCTAATATCTTTAAAGCCGAGACCTCCATGCCTCTTGTCAATAGTCAACAAACTCCATCTTCTCCAGTGAATGCCTGGTTCATGATCCCTCCCTTTACTCCACCAGAATATAGCAAAGGTTTTTGCTATGTCCTTGCAGACACCTTCAGGAAGCTTGAAACAGCTCATGACAAAAATGGGAAAGCATTAAGTACTGAGTTGATCAAAACCTCCTTACCTGCTGTGGATAAAAACTTATTCTTCCAACTAGTAACTCTCTTCTGAACTGCTTCAGTCACATAGCTAAAGATCTCCCTCTTTGATTGGCCAATCCCTAAAGGAAGACCCAAATATCTCGTAGATCTCTCTGGCCTTATCCCTTCCAGCACCCTACATATGTCTGTCTGTATGACAACTGAGGCATTTTTGCTAAAAAATATAGAAGATTTAGACAAATTTACTCTCTGCCCTGAAAAGTCCTGGTATCTTTTCAGTAAATCTACCAATCCTCTAGCTTGATAAGTATCTGCTTTACACAACACCAAACAATCATCAGCAAACAATAAGTGGGTTAAGGTAGGAGCTCCTCTGGCCACTGATAGCCCTCTAAATCTACCTCTGGCCTCCTCAGCAGTAATCATGGCAGAAAATAACTCAGAAACCAATAAAAACAGATATGGAGACAAGGGGTCTCCCTGTCTCAAACCTCTAGAAGCAGCTATGTTCCCACAGAGTGCCCATTTAAAGAAAAGGAAAAGGAAACAGAAGTTACACATTCCATCACCCACTGAACAAATTTCCTAGCAAACCCCATTTTGATCATAGTAAGACTTAAGCACTTCCATTCCACTCTATCGTATGCTTTCATCATATCGAGCTTGACTGCCATAAAGCAATGTTTACCTGATCTGTGTCTAGTCAAGAAGTGGATGCCTTCCGGTGCAATGACAACATTGTCACTCAGTTGCCTATCTGGTAAAAAAGCAGCCTGAGTCTCACTCACACAGCCTTTGATGCACTGTCTCAGCCTCAGAGCAATAATTTTAGAGATTTTCTTGTAGAACACTGCACATAGACTGATGGGTCTAAATTGGTTCAGAGAAGTAGCATTGGCACATTTTGGTATCAAAGTAATTAATGTATGGTTCCAGTATGGTAACATTCTTCCAGACTCAAAGAAACTGTACACTGCTCCACAAATGTCTTGTTTAACAATTGGCCAAAAGTGTTGAAAAAAGAGAGCAGGCATTCCATCAGGGCCAGGAGCCTTACTAGGATTCATGGAGAAAAGAGCCAACTTAATTTCTGCTTCCTCAACAGGTGCCAATAGATCATCATTCATAGATTCTGTTATTGAAGTTGGAATATGTTGAAGGATTTCAGCCCCTCCCTTGATCCCTCTGTGTTGAACAGCCCACCATAGAAGTCCTCCACATGTTGTTCAATGGCCTCTTTGGTCTCAAAAATCTCATTTTGGCTACTTACCAACCTGGATATGGTATTCTGCTTCCTTCTTTGCATCACAAATGCATGAAAAAACCTAGTATTTTGGTACCCTTCCTTTAGCCATTGTGTTCTAGCCTTCTGTTGCCAATAAATTTCTTCTGAGCAGTTAGCCTTATCAATCTCCCTTTTCACTTTGTCCCATTCCTCCCAATTAGTATTCCCTCCTTCATGTCTCATTTCTGCCAATTTCATGTTGAGGCTGCTTGGACCGTTAGCCCAATTTGTTTATATAATTTTGGTCTTCACTGGACTGAACTTGAAGTCCATTTACAAGGTCGTCTTTGTATTCGCAACTATGTTGAGTTTACATTCAATGTGAAGTAACTCAGATGAATTCTATTGAAATTGGAGATTTTCTGAAGTTATTCCAAAACCTATGTATTAGAATCGGGGAATATGGTGTGGTCCAGGTGAAGCGCACCATAAGAGGGTGAGCCTAAGTGTATCTTAGGGATGTTCAATTCCAAAATCAATTGGTAATGAGAAGAGTAGTTCACAAGGTTTATAAACTAGGCTCATATACCATGTAGAATCAATAATCAGTTTGGGATAACTGATATTCCAACAGTATGTTTATTAGGGCTGGGATTTTCGAACCGAAAACTGGAAAACCGGTCCGGACCGAACCGAAATAAGCCAGTTCGGTCCGGTTTTTCATGTAAACTGGCAGGTTTTTTCGGCTCGGTTCTTGTAGCTTTATTTTCGGTTCAGTTAATCGGTTTCTTGTACAAAATGCTGTGAATAACCGAAGAACCGTTAAAATATATATTAAGTTATTAACTAGTTTATCTAATCATCTAACATAACAACTCTTAAACCTAACCTTAGTTAAAACACATAGATCTGACTTCTGAGATCACTCTCACTCTCATCAGTCATCACATTTCATTTCGACATTTCCCCTCTCCTCTTCATCTTCCTCGTCGAAAGTCGAAAAAAAAAAACCTTACTTCTCCCTTAAATCGCAGATCGAAAATCGAATCAAAATCGATTGCAAACCTAAATTCATTCTAAACCCCATCATTGTTCGGCAAATCTCCTTTTCATTTGATCATTTCCATCTAACTTTAATACATTTGATTCCTTTTTATTTATCTTTTTTCTTATACATATATATGTATATGTTTATGTTTAATCTATCAATTGATTCATTTTTAATATTTGTTTTTTAAAAGTCATAACGACCAAAAAAGTTAAGGTAACAAGGGAACAAATTGTACCATTGTGTTTGTATTTTGCTTTTGTATTATTTATATTATTTCATCACAAATAAAAAGTCAAATTTTAACTTTTTGTTTTTGTTTTGTATGTTTTTATTGTGTTTCGATTCGTGTTATGTCATACTGTGCTTGTCATGAGAAAAGACCATTCTCTTTTAGCCCTCTTAATGAATATTTTTATGTAATTCTTGTCATTTTGGAATCAAACAATTCATGTGCAACTTGATTGATCACTACGATTACAGCTAATCTATTCTTTTAGTTATCCTTCGGAATAAATTCAATTCGTTATGACTCATGTTAGCTAGTGGTCGTCTTCGTAAGTCATTCATTACCTTTAGATAATTAATTATCCAATTAGCAAGTTGGAGTTACTACAAATAATTTTTAATAAAATGAACTTAATTCCTATTCTATAAGAATAAGAACGAATTATATCACCCTATCTCACCAACTTGGAATATTTTTAAGTTTTAAATTCGTGTAAGGTTCAATCACAAGTTGCACTAGTAGAAAGGGCTTGCAAATACAACAACAATATTTACACAAGTTGGAAAATTTGGGCCTACACTCACTTGTATGCCTACTTTTGCAACCTTTTATTTTGGTGGGCCCAGTAGTGAGCCCGAAATATAAGACGACAGGCTTAGAGTTAGTCTCTGTTATACTATTCATTGGTTTGATTATCCAAAATACATTCTGGTGCTGCTCCATTTGGGGCCCATTAGCCAACGTGCTGTAGGCTTCTCTGGCTCTTCAAAGTTGCCTTTTTTTAATGAAAAAAAGTAGTTGAGAATGTATTTATAGTAATTGTTTTAGAGCATCTCCAATTTTCTAATGTTGTCATAAAATAAATTTTGATAAATGTCTATAAATTAAATGAATTGTGAAACATGTAGAAAAAACGTAAAGTCAACAACTATCAAATTAAAAATTTATCTCTAATGCACAATGTAGTCTAACTATAATATTATCTATTTACCAAATATTAAAATTTTATAATAAACAATTAAATATTTTGAAATTGGTAAGAATAATTCTCTTTCTTCTCTTCATTGGCTAGCTAGAGTGTGGAGGAGAATATAGATGAACCACATTCTTGTTTACATTGTTGACATTAATTGTGTTACATCATCACAACATTCGTGATTATATTGTGCATTGGAAGATGAAAAGTTATGACATTGTTAAATATGTTGATGTGGAATGTGATGTACCACAACAACATTTGAGCAATGGAGATGCTCTTAGAATGGTGATTTACGCAACATTTTAAGAATTTTAGTGTGTACAGTTGGACATATTAAATTTTTTGAAATTTTGAAAGTATTTGTTTGATACATTTTAAAAAATATTTAAAAGTTATGAGATATTCAGTTTTTATTTCTCACAAATTTTTTTTGGATATTTTAACTTATTAAAGTTTTAAAGACGAAATGCATATATGAACTCATACTTCAAATCTCACCTATAAATTAAAATTTGTAACGATTTTCAGTAAATTTGAAAAAAGTTAAGAAATAACAAATTTTAAAAAGCTGAAAAAGTGACCCAAAGTCTCAAATGATTTTTTTATATCATTTTTTACTGAAACAAGTAATTACAAAACTATTTACCATGATTATAAAACTAAATTTTCTTGTAGTTTAACATCAAGTTACAACATCAAAATAAGGGTTTTTTTTGTTTGAAAAGGTACAAACTATAGACATTATTGTCAATTCTTTAAGAAAGTAATTTATAATTTTATTAGTAGAATGAGACAAGCACTTGTTTGGTAAGCACGTTTGTTACATTTGATAATCTTAACTTATTAAGATGGCTTTATGCAATGATTCTTAATTAGGACATGACATGTTCAATTCATGAGTCATTACTAGCAATTTTTAAATACATGAGAGCATCATAAGAGAATAATAAGCAAAACAAGGGAAACCACAATTGAAAAATCAAATTAGCCCATCAAAATGTCTTTCTAAACTCAAATCTCCAATTGCGGTTGCCGGAATTTGATATCGACCGCCAATGGTATCACCTCCGACCTTTCCTCACACACTTTCTCCGGCTACTTTCACCACCTTCGCCTTTTCCACTCTTCCCAATGCAAAACCCTTCGAATTTCCCATTATCATACCCGAAATTGGCTGAGCTAAACTCGGTTGAGCTCATCCTGTTAAGATTGTTATAAGACCCTTCAAAAAACGAGGACGATGAAGAAGAAGAAGAGCTTGTCGGAGGTGTGCCCGAACGAGATGAGCCGCTAAAGGCGTCATCATCTCCTTGGAACAATTCATCGAACAATTGTTGAAGTTCTTCGAAAGTCTCGTTTCCATTTCCCTATAAAATAAATTGACACATATTTAAAACACGACACGACATCTTTAGCCTCGACTCATCGTCATAATAAGGGACTCATTAGAACCATTTGAAAAGAAACACAAACACTCACCATGGGTTCATCTTGAGTCATCAGTGTTGCCATCTCATTCAGAAACTCACCCATACCCTGCATTGTATTAGCCAAAGCAAAAGTTACGGTAAGACTACACTTAACGGTCAAACAGTCATATACTTTTATAATAAATATGCATATTTTCAATATGTAGGACTACAGTTAGACTGATCTAAAACACTCATACTTTTTCATACTTTTTTTCAATATATATGTATAATTTCAAATTGAAGATGTCATACTCTAAGAAACAACATAAACAAATATATAAAATTTTATTACATAAACATTTATCTGTTATAAATGTATGAGGGGTCAAATTGTTTAATGGTTGAACTGCATTACACAAGAATTTATGAAAAATTTATTTGTCATTTGATGAGTTATATATATATTTGTAGATAAATAAAGTTTTATATGCAATACATTTCGTTTTCCCTCAATTTTTCTGAGTTTTACATATTAGTTACTTTTTTACATTAATAAATTCTAAATATAATATTAAACAACAATCAACAATGAATTGTCAGTTAACTATAGAAGCTAACCGTTACATTTTATATTAATTTAAGTGTAATAATAATTTTTAAACTATTCTATTTTATAATAATACTAACTAATTATAAATATAAGGAATTTACTTACTTATCAATAATTTTATTGCAATTTTTTTTCTTCAATCTACTTATTCTAATATTAATATTATTTTCTTCATCACATTAAGCAATTCTTCTTTAAAATTAACTAATTAGTTTTAATAGCACGAATCACATAAATAACAATAATAATACTTTTCAGCAAATTAGTTGGTCACGACCTCTGTTTACTATTAAAAATACATTATTTATTACAATTTATGTGATAAATATAGTGATTCATATGTAAGTTATATTGTTCATTGTACTAATTGTCAAAAATTTAAAATGTGATATAATCATATTTTAACTTATAACTTTAAATATACATATATACCTATAATATATAATATTTTATTTGTATATTTATATGTGCATAAGATCTACATTTATTAATTCATTAATTGGTATATTTATAATTGGAGTATTTCCTTTCGAATAGGACACATTGGGACCACGCTTTCACTCACACTTTCTTAATTCTATTTCCATTATATACTTCACATTAAAGACCAAAAGTTAAACAATTAAATGCTCTATAGGTAATAACAAACAACTTATATGGCCAAAAAGAAAAAGTGGCACAAGTTGTAACTGAGTTCAAGTAATCGAATTGCAATATGCACTAATTAAAGGGGTCATTTATTTATTTATTTTTTGTGGTGTTGAGTATATTCAAAATGGGCCAACTTACATTTTCGTCATCGTCATCGTTGCTATCATAAACTCCGACGTCGTAAAGAAACCTTTTGTCCGCATTTGAAAGAACTGAAATAATAAGTGAAGCAAAAAAAATAAAATAAAATTGTGAGCCCTATAAAATGCAAGGAAGAAATGACTTTTATATATTAACTACAAAATTAAATTTTAGATTTGTTTTGTAATTTCCAAAGACGCTAATGGTTTTGTTTTAATTAGGTTGATCAAAGTAAATTTTGTAGTTATTCTCATTTACAATATTTCGAATACAATTCAATTCGGTTCGTTAAAGTTTAAGTTCGGCTCGTTTATTTCCTTAAACAAGTCGAAGTCAAGCAATTAATTGGGCCGAGCTGAACTTGTTTGCGAACATTCCGTTTATTTATATTTTATAGATTTCAAACCGAACGTATTCTCAAATACACAAATCGTGTTTGTGATCAGTTCTTTTATGACTTTTAGACTTGTTAAACCAAACATCTCCAAAGTGTTCAGCTCGACTCAATTCGAATAACACCGTAAATGCAAATTCTAATATGAAGACAAATGATGTTCAAGACTGAAACTTTTGAACAAATATCCTTCTTTCATATGTATGAAGAATGAGAAAATGGTGTGAAATTACCAGAATAGGCTTGCTGGATGGCCTGAAATTTCTTCTTGGCCTCTTCCAAATAGTTCGGGTCCCCACAAGCAGAAAACCGATCCGGGTGCCATTTCTATGCAAGTATTAACAATAAATAAATAAATCAATCAAATTCACAAAAACAGAGGAGATGCAGAGCAATCTTGTACTTTCTTTTATAGAAATAAGAAATAAATAAAAAATCAAGAAACAACTCAAGAATGTCATATGATTGCATGAACAAGACTCACAATTTATCAATACAAATTCATTAAATCTTCTCAAAATGGGTTTTTCATCATATGATTTTGGTCTATTGAGAATATTTTTCTTTTTGTTTTAATGTCAAAGAAAGATACAATAAAGTTCAATTACAATTTACAAACCAGAGCAAGTTTCTTGTAGTTGTGCCTGAGCTCAGCTGATGTGCATTCTTTCTTCAAACCCAAAACAGCATAAAAATCGTGGCTTTTATCATCACCTGCCATTTTTTGCCTCAAGCCCACAATATTTTTCAGCTCAAAATTCAATCTTTGGGAACTATATATAAAGTTCCACAAAGAGGCAAAAGGGTTCTTATAGGTTTTTTCTTTCCCTTCAATCCCTCATATTATATCAAAAATGTAAATATACTTTTTTAATTCTTTTATTATTAATCTTCAATCACAATAAATGCTAAAAGATTACCACAAGATATAACCTTATTAGCCTTTTAGACAGAGAGAAAACAACTGTCTTTAATAGGCCTTCAAAAATGGAAAACTTATATAGTGTGAGCCAGTATAACTTTAGATTTTAAAAAATATTATATTTTTGTGGCTCGTGTATTAAAGTATGTATATTTACTAAAATACTGCAGCCGTTTTCTTTTTTTTTCTTTTTTAATACTGGGTTTAGAAACCAGGCAAAACCAGGCAAAGTTGTAATTTCACAAAATAATGGAAAAAGAAAAGCAGACTTTGAATATTTGGTCTGAATTAACTTTAAATGTTACAGAAAGAAAATGGATGTGGGGTTAAAAATGAATGGCTAGGATTAAACTCCAAGGTAGATATTTGTTGATGGATTCTGTCTCCAGAAACTTCCGTATTTACTGCTGATTCTCAGGTTCTCTTTTGGTTTTCCCACTTTTCCAGATTTTTGGACTTCTGTGTGTAATTGATGAGCTTCTTTTACTTTTTTGTTTTTCATTTATTAATTACATGTATCAAACAAGTGATTTCACAAATATGAATGATTACAGATGCATATTTTTTTTAATTTAAAAAAAACAAAAAGAGTTTATGTACTATGTATACTTGATGTAATGTCATCCCATCAACTTCACTTTAGACAACTTGATGAATTAAAACCACATTTTTTTAGTCTGACCGGATATTATAGCATAAGTTAAAAAACTCGTGTGGAAGTGTGTAATATTACTTATTTTAATGAAATATTATTAAATTTGTAAAAATAGTTGAGTGAGAATTCAATTTACTAAAAATGGGCTAAAAAGACACCAAAAGCAGAAGCTTTTATGAGTATTTGAGGTCCAATTGCATGTCTAATTAATTAATTAAACCCAACTTGCTTCTTAACAACAGTGTGATTAGCAAATTGTGTACTTTAAAAAAGGAAACAAAGCCAACTTGAATCAATTTGTTTTGCCATTTAATGTGAAGCATCTAACAAATTGAGAATAAAGAATGATTATTGGGGTTCAAATTGATCTGAACTCCTCTCTAATAGGAGGGGAAATAATANATAGATACATACATGTTTGAATGTTTCTGGTTTTTTCTTGAGGAATATAAAGATAAAACACAAGTTGGCAACTTGTGAATTGTACATAGTGTTATTTTAGTAACTTCAATTTGCAAATTGCAGCCACCAAAAATAGAGAACTGGAATATGGGTAGAAAAGGCCTTTTGTCTCCTTTTTCATTTTAATTCCATCACATTATTGCATGCAAGTGTGACAATTTGCACCAGTCCTTATCAACATCTCTAAAGGTGATTCATGTTCCTAGCTAGTCCATATAATTTATTATAAATATAAATAAATTATTAATAAAAATTGAGTCGGTTCAAAATAAATAAAGTATGAAACCTGTGTGCTACTTGGTTTGTTCTCATCACATGAAATTTGGGTGATGCAATTCTATAGATTATTAATCTTTTTAATGCACCCTTTTAAAACTATTAATCTAATTCTTGGTTTTAGTGCCATTGATTATATTATCGATAGAACCTAACCAGATAGTGTCCTGATAGGATTTGTGTTCGTTGGGGAAAATAAAAATTACTCGACAAAGATAATAACATGTTTCAGGCTCGAATCTATCGAGAAAGATCAAGGGGAATCGTCAAGGCTAGCTATTCGCCTTTAACAACTATGTAAATAATGACTAGAAAGAAATAAGAGAAAAAAAAAAAATGCGTGTTAGATATCACACCTGCGAAATTTCAACGATTTTACGGCAAAAAACTAATGTGTGTTATTACATGTCACACCAGTAAAACTTCAAAAGTTTTCACTTGCTCTGATAAGTACATTTTTATCTCTTGCCATGCACAGCACACACACCAAGCAGTTTACAAAGTCATAGTGATTATTCGTTTCTATCCAAACGGTCCCTAAAGCAATTGGTTTAATTCATCAACTATGCAGTCTCAAAGCCTTAATATAGTCAATCTCGACTCGAAAATCACCTGGACCAGACTTGGCTCCCGGGACTCCACCTTCAGCATTGATAGATAGAGACATGCCGACAATTCGAGCCGGGTTCATCTCTAGCTTTGCATCTATCACATTGCCCCTCCATGTAGGTAGATATCGATCAAGAGGAATCTGAAGAATGGAAAATTTAGGGCGTGCTTGTTTACAAATTAATCGGCTCAAAATGAACTTTTTTGGTTAACTAGGGTTGATTTTGAAAAAGGTGGTATGGTTAGTCGTTAGTGGGATTTTGAGTTTATATTAAAATGATATTTAAAATAAATAATTAAAGTTGATTTGATGTAAAAGTAAGAGTGAGATGATGTGAAACAATGATTAGTTAAAATTATGTAAGTAAATGAATAGTGAATTAAAATTGATGTGATGTGTAAGAATGATTTGTTTGTAATATTTAATTATATGAATAATATAAATGATACTGCAGTTGAGTTAAAGTTGAGTTATATGTTGAGTGTGAATTAATTGTGAATGAGTTATTTGGTAAATAACACCCCCTAAAGTTCTTGAAATTAGAATCGAGACAATATTAAGTGATTATGTTGTAAATATTTATTTATTTTTTTGGGTTTCAGTCACAATAATATGCAGCTTGTAAAATATTATTAATATCTGAATTGTGATCCACTCGATCGGTCTCAAACAATCCTACTTTATCAGGGAAGTTGTTTCGAATGGTTGAATTTCGTCCATTTATATATCCAATTGAGATTTTGCAACTGTATTGCAAAGTGCAAACACTTGCACTTGGTGTTTGTAGGCTGAAACACTTCACCTGTTAATTTAAATTCAATTTGGTGCAAGCATATTCAGAATAAATGTTCACTATCTTCATAATTTTATTAATCTTAACGGTATGAATTTGAATAGTGGAGAGAGAATGTGGAATTCACCTTCGCAATATACCAATCATCCTTGGGCACAAAAACAAATGCCTGCCATGAGTTATCTTCCTCCTGTCCTGGGGAATTCACCCAATTCTCTGTATAAATCTGCATTAAAGTTAGAACAAGACTCGATTAGCTTTGCCTCTAAGCTTATATAAGTGCTTGATAACCATTGAAATTCAAATCACGTAGAGAATCAAACTTTAAAATATTCATAATGCTCACAGTGGAAATGTAGCATCTACCGTCCCCTTTAAGTTTTAAGGCCAAAGTGTCGTAAGCATCCAAATCGATGAATCCATCAAACTGCGCATATACAAGTAGATGAAGAATGGGAGTGAACAATAATTAAAAAAAAAAAAATTAAGAAAAATTAAGTCTTGCGAGTATCGTTATTACTACCTTCTTAGATCTCATACCACAGAAGCCACTTCTACTAATGTTCCATTTTGAACTTTCATCGACATCCAGAGAAAGGTTTCCAGAGAAC